CGCCATCTCTATCGACAAAAATAACTGAATTAACAAGATAGTAGAATTTTAAAGGCATTGGGAAGGACTGGATTGGACTTCAAATCATTAACTAAACCTGCTAAATCTTTGTGAATGTGAAAAGCCTCAAGAAAATCCAATTCACCTAATGGAAGAAGCCTTTTGGATAATTTTTGCAGACCCAAAGTCAAATTATGGTTAATTGTCCAACTATGATATGCTATGAAGACTTGAAGTTTAATTTCGCCTTTTTGGACATAAGATTCATGTTCCCTGTACGAAACTTCAACTCTTTTTTGTTTGGCCAATATATCTTAAACCACACTGACACGATATACTAAATTCCCCAAGAATTCAAAGACAGAAACCAATCTTTTAGAATCGAAGGGTGAATTTATTAATAGGGGAAGAAACCGACTTGAAAAATTGAATTTCTGGATAATCCGTGCAATTTTATAGCTAACAGAAGGATTAAAAATGGAAGCACGACAAGGTCATTAATATTATTTCTAAACAGTGGAATGTCTTCTTCTTTGATGGGACTCTGAAAAATTTTTTAACGGCTTTATCATAATCACGGGAAAATCACGTGGATTTTGCTAATTTTTCTTGTCCCTTTGTGTTTATAATGTTTGATCACAATAGCCTGGATCAGTAAAAGTAGGCGGCCAGCGTAACTCTGATTTCAAAATTCCGGTTATAATCCCACGTGCAGTGCTGATAAGGACAAGTGTTTCTGAGACTCCTTCCCCTTTTTTTTTTTCTTCTTCTAGGTATTCTTTCTTCTGATGAAGAGCGACCTTTAGCTGCCCTTTGAAATCGATGTTTCAATTTACTTACGCTAAATACAAGGTTATTTTTTTTTTTTATTACGATTTTGATTGTCACATTAGCGTGGTTTCTCTTCTAGTCTAAGTACAATAAGTTCATAGTTGTAATGCGTGCTGACAGTTATCCAATTAAACTTAAATAAATATTAAACGCATTAAATACTTTAAAAAAAAAATAATGATGTTGTTGTAGCTTGCACATTGGTAACATGTTTGTAGCTGCTTTGCAATTGGTAACATGTTTTTACTTATTGCTAATGTATGAAAATGGAAATAGTTCTAATGAGTTAATATCAACTATTTTATTGATTCATACAGGGATCTGTTTTGACATTTTTTGTATCTTGTTTATCGCATATTTGCTTGCAGCTTTAGAACCAACTAGGGGTAATGCTTACTTGGTTTGTTTTGTTTCCATATATATTTGGTAAATGTGTTTATGTTCTGTAAAATGTTTCAAAAGAGTGCGAGTCTAAATATCTCTGCAACCACTGGTAGACACATTGTTTTGTTAAAACAAATGCATGTAAATATCTGGTTTCGAGATTATGAAAATTCTGTTGCGAGGCATTTTTTAATTAAAAAGTTTATGATTAATTTTTTTTAATAGGGTTCCCGTAATGGAAATGTTCCTCTTTTTACCGATTTTTCAGGAAAAAATATTAAAAAATTCCTTCTCTGGTTATAGAAAAAATATTTTTTAGTTCATATAAAGGTTTAAATCTTTTTTGTTTTAGCATATACATTTCTAATTTCAGCATATCTTTAAATAAAAATAAAATTTTGAAACATATATAGCTGTGTTTGAATTTGTTTGGCCTGGGACTCGAACCACGGACCTCTCGAATTAGTGTCGAGCATGCTGACCACTACATTACAAAGACATGCTAAGAAGGCCGGAGTAATACCTTATACACTTTTCCGTTAAATTTCTTTCCATATCCTCATACTGTTTCTAGAAATCTCACTATTCTCCTTAGTGGAACTTCAATCGTTTTATTTTTTTTTTACTTAGTGTGCTGCAAGAAAAGAGTGGTACCTGTCATCCTTTGGAATAGAACATTATACATATAACTGGGGCTTAAACTCAGACGGAGATTGGCTGAGCTGCTTCTTAGCATCAAATTGGAATTGTGAATACAGCCGATACCCCAAACAAAGACAAGGTCCGATACTATTTTTTATGTTTAACTATTTAAAAATAATCTAATAATATATTAGATTTCTCTTTATCTCTTTACATTTTTAAAATTAAAATTTTTTATTATTTAATTAATTAAATTTGTTTTTTTACTTAATTAATATTAATTTAATGTATTATTTTAATTTTTTTAGCTATTCTATTAACACTCAAGAGCCAAAACATTATGACCAGCCCTACATTTGCGATGAACGCGCCTGCGACTGGAAGGCCCGTGATCAGGTGGAAGTAGTATTTAACCTGCTGCTGGGCGTATGAGAATCATCTTCTTTCACTTACTTCTTGTGTGTGATGAAAGGCTGGCGGATCTAAGCGACTTTGATAGAGGGCAGATTGTAATGGCTCGAAGGCCTCGGTACAAGTATTTCCGAAACTGCACGACTTGTGGGTTGTTCGCGATCTACAGTTGTTAGTACGTATGAAAAGTGGATGTATGACGGTGAAACCAGCAGTAGACGACATGGTGTTGGATGTCCACACACTATCAAAGAAAAAGGTCGTCGGAGACTGTCTCGCATGGTGAAGCAAAACCAGAGCTAAACAGTGGCTCAGCTGACAGCCGAATACAATGCAGGGCCAAGTAGAAAAGTATCGGAGCACACTGTTCAGCAGACACTGTTGGATATAGGGCTACGCAGCAAACGTCCCACTCGAGTGCCTTTGCTGACCAAGCGTCATCGCCAACTGCGCCTGCGCTGGGCCCGGGAACATCGCGACTGGTCTATGGATCAATGGGAGAGAGTTGCATGGTCAGATGAATCATGTCATTCATCACGCTGATGGCAGTGTCAGGATACACCGTCTTCCAGGCGAAAAGTTGCTCCCTCAATGCACAGTAGGTCATACACAGGCCGGTGGTGGCGGTATTATGCTCTGGGGGACAATCTCTCTGGGCGTCTGGGGACCTGTGGTTGTGGTAGCACATCATGAATGCTACAGGTATTTGAACATCATTGGGCGGACCATTGCCACCCTTACGTGGCCTCTGTTTTTGCAGCAACCTGGAAATGGAATGTTGTTCCAACAGGACAAACCCCCGTGTCACAAGGCTACAATTGTGTTGAGTGGTACCAGGAACATGATGCTGATTTCCAGTTAATGTCTTTGGCCTAACTCACAATCTCAATCCCCATAGACATTTGGAATGTCATGGGACGGCAGCCTCAGAGGGTCAAAGACCACCAATTCGCAATATCTCGGATTTGCGTGACCGTTCCTACAACATTGGTACAATCTGTCTCCGGCCATCTATCAAGGACTTGTGGCATCCATGCCAAGGCAGGTTGAAGCTGTGTTGCGCGCCAAAGGTGGCCCAACTCGTTATTGACAGGTGGTCATAATGTTTTGGCTCTTGAGTGTATTTATTTATTTCCTTTCTCACAGTCTCCATAGGGCTCTGGCACTTCTAATTTTAGAAATTAAGCCCTGGGTGATTGTTTTCAATTTACTAACTAAACACAAACTACTGATGACGGGCATACTGCATATTTTCCGTCTAGCTGTTCCATCTGCGATTTCGGCAAGTCAGCTGTACATTCATTTTCTCAAATTATTTATGGATGATTTGAGGTCTAAGGATTAGCAAAGATGACACTGTGAATGGGTGACATTCAAACTACAGAAAAGCAGAAACCTGATTAGATATTGTAATGTTAATATTATTATTTATTGTTATTGGAATTAGGTTTCTTTCAAAGAAATAATATTGCAATAGTTGCCTGCAGTTTGTCCATGACTACTTTTCATTTGTTATTTTCTTACAGTAACCGCATCCTTCGGAAATTAAATTAGTCACATTTTCTTTTCCTCTATTTTTGGATTGTAACATTAATAAAAAAATTGGGGGGGGGGGGGTTACAAACTTTGCACAAGTTAGATAACTTTCTGTTTACTTTTAAATTCCGTTTTATTTTCCTAAAGTATAATCTTCAATCATAGGCATATTTATGGACCCTCACATTCCAAAGAGGGTTCCCAAACTTTCGGGCATGTGAAGCCACTGTTTCATTAATCTGTCAATGGCGATAATGTTTTAAAAGTTCCAATACAGTACTTTATTCTCCTAGACATGCAACTGGTTGAGATTATTTCAAACAATTCTATCATTTGTACACCTTTATTAAATACACTTTTTTCTGACATTGCAAAACTATGATCACTTTTTTTATAATTATTACCAAGAATAATAGGATTTAGAAGTTTTTGTGATATACCACATTTTTATATCATCATAAAGTGTTTATTTTATCCTACTATATTCACAACACAGTTTTACAGGACATTTCACCTTGGGGGGGGGAGTACTGTATCTAGCTTATAATTCAATGGATGCTCATTTTAAGGTGAGTTACACATGTTAAGTTATAAGATAGTTGCTCTAAAATGCCATTCAATCAACAAGTCTTATGTGATGCAAAAAATTTCTACTGCAAAAAAATTTCACAATTCATGTGTTCATGTACAAATACAACAATTTATTTATTATGCAGGTCAATTTATTTTGAGAGCTTTATACTTTCATATATTTTTACTTATTTGCAAAATTTAATCTTCATGAATTTTAAAAGATTACAGTCACAATCTTTCACATTAAGACAAAACTTTACTTACAATTTTGTTGCCAACAGTAAAAATGATAATGTGGCCTAACAAAATAAATAAATTACATAAATGCAATTTTTAAAAAAATCATTTCTTCAGAAATTCTTGTCATTTCTAAAAATTACAATATTATTATTGCTATAACTGAGATAAACACATCACTCACGTCAGAAAAAGTATTAAATTAACTATATCCCTTAAATAAAGGTACACAAAAATAGCAAGCATGCCTCCTTTTTAATCTGTGGTACTGATCATTACAAAGTATTTAAAGTGAAATAAACAAAAACTAAAGTTGCATCTTCTTCATCTCCCCTCCCCCCCAAAGTAAGGCATTTACAAATTGCAAAACTGAAAAAATGAGACAATTTCTAATCCAAATTTTTATTTGTCAAAAAATATATATTTGAAATAATTCAGATCGTGATATAATTGTTCATGATGAAAGTTGATTCATTAAGAACTTGAGCAAACTGTGGCTGATTGAGCACTGTTTCGATAAAACATTTTTGATGCAGACACAGTTAACTTGGTGCAAAATCAGCACCTCCTCCTAAAGCATTTTACATTTTTAAGATGCTATAGTAAGAAAAGAAATAGTAGTCTAGCTACAGAAATTCCCATTCACAACAATTTAATTTCAGTTTAGATTGCTCCTTTTGGCTAATTTTAAATTTTGGTTCCCAAAAAATAATTACTAGCCGAAGCCTTATCTACATCATTAGCACTGTACAAGAATCACGTGACATCGATTTATTTTGAAATGAAAGAGTTCAGAATAATTAATGTATATGCAATTATTATCTTTACTGTAAATGTAAAGGAGAAAGGGAAAATTACCCAAATTAAAAGAAAGAGTTGAGGGGCAATTGCAAATTGAAATTAGAATTCTGATTTACATGTTTTTTCTTACATATATATATGTATAAATGTGCGCACATATATTCGTTCCATTGATCATTTTACATCATACACATGTATAGGTGTATACAATGTACCCATAAAAGTCCTTACATAGCCTTATTTTTGCTGTTTTTCACAGACCCAGACTTTCAAACAACCAAGATTTTCAACAGTCCTGTGATCTAGTTAATAAACAATTTCTGTATGTTAAGAATATAATGAAAATGACTCCTAAGATACATTTATCTGCGAAATGCATAAACAAGTGAGATTGTTTCTTACACAGACAACTTAAGTTATTTAATAAAAAAAATGCTTTAATTTTGAGACGTTTATTTCAGTAACATAACCTGCAAGTTAACAAAAATAAACGATAAAAATATATCAAATCACAGCAAAAAAATGACAGCTACATATACATTACTTATTTATTTAAATATATATATAAATTATTCCATATGTGCTTTGCAATAAAATTTCAATAAAGGAACATTAAAAACACTTTAAGACACTGAATATTTGTAAGGAGTTCATTAAAATTCAATATAATAGGAAATCATTATCCTTTGAAAATATAACTTGCATCCGTTTGTTGACATTTTTAAAAATAGTATAAGCATAAAGTAAAAAAAAGTTGTAAGTAAAAATGTGTAATTATAATTGAAAATTAAAAAAAATTCAAGCACCGATTTTAAAAAATTTGAACTGAAACTATTAATGAACAGATAGATAGATACACAAAAATTTGTTCAAAACCAAAAGAATGAAACTGAGTCAATGGAAATTTGCCAAGTTGAAATACACTGAGAAATAGATTTCAATTAATTATTATTGATTAAACATACTTTTAAATATTTATTTTATTCTAGCAAATAAGCCTTTACATTAACATATTTTAAACATTTGGATACACAGAAGTCAAGACCAAAGAATACACACATACTAACAAGATTGAAATCCCCATCTCAGTTTTATTTATATTTTATATTTTCAATCTTCTCAAGTATACCTGCTGTTTTAAAGAAATGCCTTTACAAACTATAAGTAAAGCTTCTATCAATTCTGTTAAACATAGAATTAACTAACTGTCAATTTAAGTGGTTAACAAAGAAATAACATTAATTATACAAGACTCCATCTTCAAATTACCCTACTTTTCCATAAAAGATATTTCAAAAGAAAATACTCTCAAAATAAAAACAGTTTATGCAATTTTCAAAGATGTACAAAGAGAGTTCATGAAGATTTTCTTATCACCAAAGATAAAGAAGCCAAGATTAACATGAAAAGGTGAAGTCACACAAGTTTTTACACACAAGTTTCTCTTCCACATATTATAGATATTGCTGATTTTACTTGGTTGTATCTTATAATTAAATGATAGTAACAAAAATTAATAAAAGCTCATATACACCATAAAGAGTCATGTAGCATCCCCATGATAACAGCTTTGAAAATCATACAATCACTGCATATCTGCAAATCCATTTCTTCATTTTATGCGATTATACCAGCATGGCAACATAATGAAACTAAAATGGAATTTAATTATTCCTCCCAGCATTTGATCAAACTCAGATCAAGCACTCAGATCTAAATTAATATAGTTCATTAAGATTCAAATAAAACATTATAAAATTAGCATTCAGAAAAAAATAAAAATTCAAAAGGTTGAAACTTTAAAACCTCATTTTTTAAAATGTCATAAACTATATTATTTTGTTTAGCAAAAAATAAATTAAATGCTTTTCTTCCCACATCAAATTCAAACAAAGAACATATGTAAAAAAAAAATTAAGTTTTTAAGTTGCAATTCCATTAAACATCATTCCTACTTAATCATATCACAGAATTATTTCTTTTAAGAAAAATATAAACATATATTTTAAACAAATAATTAAAATATTTACAAAAGGCATACTGATATAACATATAAGGACATGTTCAGTCTTAATATCTTCTTTCAAATCAAATTAATTCATAAAAGTAGATGGATTATTTCCTCTTAATATTGCCTCCAGCCTATTCCATTGTATTGTAGTCCACTTTAGCAGCATGGTAGGCTCGGTGTACAGAAAACCCCACCAATATCAACAGAGTTATCAGAGCCAGGGTACATCCAACAGCAAAAGGTATAGTTTCATCTTGAATAAATTCTGTTTCATCAGGACCATCAAGAACAACTTTGCTGCATCGGTGAACTAAAAAATAGTATACACATATTTACACTGAGGAATGCTATATATGAAATACCTCTACCTGAACAAATTTATTAATTTTATATTTTAGTAAATATACAAAATTAATGAATTAATATCAGGGTATTATTGAGGATGATGGTCATGGTTCACTCAAAATCACATTTAATTTGAGGCAAACTAAAAAATCTGATGTGTACACCACATGACTTCCTTGTATGGAATATTAAATTATATGCATTTTTTCTTGCACTTCATTTAAAATTATTGGCCTTATACTCAAGGCCTGCCAGTGTGAAAATATTCTTTTGTGTTTTCGGTTGCCTGCGTTCTATTCCTACTGACCGCAAGATGGCGCTACAATTCTGCTACACTTTGCGATGTTTACAAAAATCGGAAAAGTACCAAAAACGAATTCTGTCTTGTTATATGCAAAGTTTAAAAACAATTAATTCATAGTAGTCAGAAATTGTTGATTTCTTATTAGTAAAAATATTTTAATTAGAAGGAAAGCATGGAATTTTAAGCTATCTCACCTTTTTTTTTTTCACACATAAACACCAGCTATTTGATCTCGATTTTAATTCCTGCTTTCATCTAGACATGCGCTATTCTGAATTGTACGCATTACAACTATTTATTCTAATTTAAATGTAATTCAGAGTATACACCTTATTTTTTAATTATTTATATAGTAAGAAGATCATGTACTATTTCAGTGAAAAAGTTTCAAAATATTTCTATCGGCTGTACTGGGCCAAAAAATAATTTAGTATCCCCTATCAAAGATGTAATTAATGTATTAATACACCGTATTGTACTAAAATTTGTATATTACTTAAAGAGATTAAAGTAAAAATATTACTTAAAGATATTAAATTTTACATACTGAAGAATTTTTTTAAATTATAAATAACTGTTTTTAGAAAATCTTAAACAATAAAAGTTTAAATAATGCAGATTTTGATCTCTGTGCAGTATTTGCACATTCAAAGACATTCTAAAATTATTAGGAAAAAAAGAAAAGAAAAAGTCTTACTGTGGCATAGATTTTGAATGAAACTCAAACCCAAAGTTGCTTTTTTGACTAATTTTAATATTACACAGGTGTGTTCCTCTTCACTTTCATTTGTATTCTAAATTTCATTGATGTTAACATTAAGAAACTAGTAATTGAATTAAATGCATTGCAGCAATTACATTTTCAGTGTTAGAGAAACTTCAATTTTTCAAATGAAAATAATGAAATATTTGATAAAGCTATTGATCCAATCAATCTGTTTGTTATAAATAAAAGAGACACAGACATCATAAAAATATTTTTAACAGCACACAAAAAAATAATAACTCTCATAATCACAATATATACTTAAGAAAACGTTCAGTTCTGTATATGAAGGATAAAAATTTGAAAACTTGCAATGGCTGAATATAAATAATATATCCATCACACATGCCCACAATGCTAAGTAGAATGAGGTATATACACAATTTTAGATATATATGCATTTAAAGTTAGGAAAAAAAAAAAAAAAAAAAAAAAAGCTTATTATATGATTCACTTAAATATACAGCAGGTAGAAATTTTTACACACATACAACATTTATGACATGTGTACAAAATTTTATGGCTGGCAACGTGAGATACTGATATCGTTCATTATCAAGAATAATGTATACATGAAATAAAATGACAGGTATATACAAAATTTTAAACCTATATGCATATAAAGTTAGGCAAAAAAAACAAGCTTATTAAGTATAGCCCTTAAATATACAGCAGCTAGACATTTTTACACACATACAACACTAATCAGAATGACATGTGTACAAAATTTTATGGCTGGCAGCGTGAGATACTGATATAGTTCATTATCAAGAATAATGTATACATGAAATAAAATTACTGAATTTCACAAAACAATATTATCACTATTACGCACACATATATACATGAGTGCCATCTTGATACATTACCTACATTTAACTACCTGACATAAATCCATGTGTACCATTCCCATTCCAGATTAAGCAGAAGAAAGTTGCAAACAAAGTTTTGAAAATAACAGCATTAGATGCACAAAGATTTCAGAATTAAATAAGCAGAATGAGGAATTTCAGAACTGAGTTCAATGAGGTATATACATAATTTTAAACCTATATGCATATAAAGTTACGCAAAAAAACCAAGCTTGTTAAATATACAGCAGCTAGACATAAAATACACTTTTTGTTAATAACTAATGAGCCACATTACATATAGTGAGCATATAGCAAAATTGTAGCAGAATGCGAGCGCCATCTAGTGATGAATTTCGCAAAAGCCACTGAAAACTGGGAACCGGAATTTCGTTCAGTCTGGCAGGCCTTGAGTATAAGTTGGCCTTGGTAGAGGTATGCAAGCAAGTCCAGAGCAGATCAGTTCTAGCCTTGGTGTCATGGATGTTGTATGTAATGACATTTCCTCTGTCCAAACTTTTATGTAACATAAATGTATGATGTAATGTTATGCTTAAATAGAATTATTTTGTTTTGATAACAGTCTCCGTTTAATAATTTTAAGGAGTCTCAACACTCTCACCAAATATACATATCATATTTTTCTTCTATAGGTTTTCAAAAGGTAAAAGTAGCATCAAAAGAAGGGAATATGCAAGTAAATACAGTATTATAAAACTTAAATGCTACATAATAATGATTTTACGCAGTTATTGATGGATCACATTTTAAAAGACCCATTTTAAAATCTGTAGTTAAAGTTTATTTCCAGATGGCCATATTCGGGTGCAGATGTCTGTTATTCAAAATTTGATGTTTCTAGATACTGTTGTTTTATCAAAATGCAAGAAACATACATATATTTATGCACATTCCTCATTATTTAATTTATTTAAATATAATGCAAGGCTCTAATATTTGGTGGCAACAATTTAAAAAGTGATTCGCAGTTTATAGTGAATCAATGCAAAATGCCAAAACAAAAATAACAGCTCTTCTGGGCTAAAAACTGCAGTGTATTAAAGATGGAAAAAAAAAATCATGTGTGATGTTAAAGATGAAAAAACTAATACATATACGATCTTAAGATGAATAAATCCAGTTTTACTCAGCCACAGTATCAACATCATTATTACATTTTAGTAACTGCTCTTCTTTATGTATTATTTAAAAAATTCTATTCCTGCATGGATTACAAATAAAAGTGCACAAGAAAGTATCAGTCTTAAATATCTATTAGATAACCTTTGTTTAGTGCTGGATGTTATTCAACCCTCTACGGCTATTTAATTATATATAGCAGTCTTAAGTAATTAAATATCAATAGAGAACATTATATTAAATACTATATGATTCTAAGAAGTCTGCTCTCTCTCCCCCAACAAAATATAAGACTTCAGAAACTAGCGTGAAAGCATATATATATCCATTAAATCCTTATTACTTAGTTAAATCCTTACTTTGTGAAAATTTTCCTTTTTTGACATCATAAGGCTGCAAGTGTATCTCACTCATTCTTGCTGTAGCCACATGCTTATTTTCATGATAGAGAAGAATTACTTCTTCTGCAGGGCAATAATATGACTTTCCAAGAGGAGTTTCAAATAAACTAATGCTTTTACTTTTAGCTGTATATTTTCGAGCTGTTAAATATAAAAAGAAGTGTGGATATAAATATATCAAATTAAGCTTGACATTTGATAAAAAATTAACACATGAAAATAAATGAAAACAATTAAGTGATGTCATATTTCCATGAAAATTAACAAAGCTAAATTAAACAAAACACAAGCCAAATTTGAAAAAGCAGTAATTATAGAGAAATGAAATTATATAAAAAAATAAAATTTAATAAACGTAATCAGATTTTTTATAACTATTTACAAACATCACTAATACATGAAAAAGAAACAAGTAATCATCATACAGTATCCTCTTTATCAAATTGAAAATTTTCAAATTTGATCAAATCTTCAGAAAACAATATTAAATACAGGGTATGTTATAAATTTGTGCAAACATAAAAAAATTATAATAAAAGGAGTACTGCTAGGGAAAAAATTCAGCTAGCATAAATATGATGACAGGGAAACCTATCTTTCAGTTACTTTTGGAACCTATCTTCAGTTATCATTTTAAAACCTATCTTCAGTTACTTTTGGAACTTTCAGTTATCATTTTTAAAACCTATCTTCAGTTACTTCTGGAATCTATCTTTTTTTAAAAAAAAGATAGATTATAATATCTATATCTGTATATATAATATAATATCTTTTTTTAAAAAAAAGATAGGTTCCAAAAGTAACTGAAAGAGAGTGCTCACACATCATTGTGAGATGTTTTATGCAAATCATGCAAACAGAAACAGACAACAAAACAGATTCCAATAACACGACACTGCATTTATTTTAAAGCAAAAGATTTTCAATTCCAACAAAGTGGCTGGGGAACCATGGTACACATGAGACTTAAAGCATACCCCAAACCAAAAATCTGGCAGGGTCATGTCTGGCAATCATGATGCCACTTATAACTTCGATTTACAACTCGGTCTTCAATGAAAGTTTCCTACAAGAAAATTTCACGTGCAATATGGGGTGCGGTTCCATCCTGCATGAAAGTGATGACAAGTAACGTACATATTTCCTGCAATATAGGCACAATGTGGTCATGCAAAAGCATAGCAAACCATTTGGCAGTGACTGCCCACATTTTCCAGTTGGATACAGGACAATGCTCTTCAAAAATGTAAGGGTCAAAATGAAATAGATGGTGAAACTGCTTCAAAAAGTCACAAGAGCAGAATGCAGTGGCTTGGCCAGATAGTCACAACATTTTGATGTTGCCCAAATGTGGCCATTTTGCATATCAACATCACTGTGCAGTGAAGATTGGATTTTCCCAAAACTGTTCAATTAAAGAAATGGAGAATACTCACCTTGAGCTTTCTTATTTCTATTTTCAGTAACTGGATTCATCAATGGTGAAATATTTCCTTCTAAATAGTTAAAATCTCAGATTCATCCGAATTCACAACAGTGATTTAATATTTGAAGACATTTAATAAAGCAATTAAAGTTACAAACACATTTTACAGCTTTTACAAAATTTACTACACATTCAGAAATTTTACGCGGCTACAATTTGAAATCAAAACTTAGAGTTCTTTTCGAAGTTAGAGTAACAGAAGTAGGAGAATGTTCAGGATAATGAACTTTATCCGTCCATAGGATGTTCAGCAATCATTGTGGGTCACGTTCCATTTCTGCCAACACCCATGTAGCAAAGTTTTGACATTCATCTGTACCTGCTGGTAACAACTGATGTATTTTATACAGATATTTGCATTTATACAGATATGTGCATAAAATACAGACAGACAGCCTGCATTTTATACAGATACAAAGGCAAGATTCCATGCAGAATATGCTGAATTGAGGATTCTAGAATTCCTATTATTCTCTCAGCATTATGAGCACTGATACTCTCCTTTGATATCTTGGCTACCAATTCCTTCATGACACTTTGTATTACATGGATGTGATTCATGCTCAAGGATGGTCTTCCACTTCGTGGCATCCTCCAAACTCCCCATTTGCTCAAAAAGGTTGAACTAAATTCAGCATCCCATTCAATGAAATAGGGCTTTCTTTGCACAATAAATCCTTTTTCTGTGCGAAACTTTTGCAACGCAATATTCACCCTTCTTATACAAAAGTTTAACCACCAGCGCTTTAACTGGTAAGCCCTCTTTCAGTTACTTTTAGAATTTTTTTTTTTTAAATACTTGGGGGGGGGGGGGAAATCCAGTGCCCTACTCGCACAAACCGAAATTTTTTTTCTGAGCATTATTTATTTTATTATGCATTTTTGGAGTCTGCACGAATTTATGATAAATCCTGTACATACATTCTCCAGATAACATTTCAAACTTCAAATTTTTCTGAAAATTATGCACAGACTAAATACATTGCTTGACAGAGAATATGCCACATCATGAATATGGGAATGCAGTGGTATGTAAATAGCAGATAATGCACCTTTGAAAGTTATGCAAATGATTTCTGGCAAATCATAAAAATCTTGTGCATGATTAAGTAGGCAACTAGCACGTTAAGTAGCCATTCAAGATGCTGGTGTGGCTGCCAGAAGTGCATTTTTTTCCCCTGCAGCTATATCTAAAAATTTAACAAGAAAAGTTAGTGCCTTTAAACTGCCATTGTAAAAAATATAATCAAGCAAATGCATTTGCAAATGGTTTCTTTATAGGAGCCTCTCATGGCTCTAAGAAGTTGGCCCTTGCATCATACTGGAGAACAAATGAGAAAATAGCACAAAGAAAATGCAAAAATCACTGGCAGTTGGAATAGGGAAAAATGATGTCACATCCAGCAGATCATTGTGATAGCATATTCTTAATATCAAACGGTGAAATTTTGAAAAATGTACAAGAATTTTGATGCTTCAATATCAACTCTGATACTGCCATCCCAACTAGTTATAGCAAGTTTTTATCCACCCATACGAAGACTATCTGTAACAGTGAATCATCATCGTTATCATTTTAAACAGTACTGTTTAACATTATGTTAGGTTATCTGAATATAACAAAGCATACAAGGGCTATCTGCCTAAATGAAGGAATGGCTTTAGGGAGGACTTTCTATGAGAAACTGGCTCATATTCGTGTTACACATGAGGAAAATCAACCATACAGCCAGGTCGTTCGCCTAGGATTGAACCCAGGTCGAACTCATACCATTCAGCAGTAAGTGTACAGGGAAGATAGTACCATTAGATTCTTCTGCCTTTTAAGAAGGCCATGCATGCACTATCATGTTCACAAAATATCTCAAAAGCAGCACTATAAAGGATAATACCTAGGCATATACCATGCAGAACAGCCTAAATGCTTTGAAAAATGCACAAATGCTTCCTTGGCCAGCCTAGTTCTTCAACTAGTCACCAATAAAAACATCTAAGACATGATTAGGTGTCAGTTAAACACCCTCCTATCCTCATGAAATGGTTATGAATTATGGACTCAGAGGAACAACATATGGTCTACAACATCCTAGGACATTATTCAGTCACTCAATCAAAGTAATTCCGAGTTGTATTTATTGCCAAGAATGGAAGTTCCACTTTTGACTAATTACCCTGCATTTAGGAAACCTACAGCCCTTGCCTGAATGTGAAAACTGAATAATTTTTTTTCTGCACATATTTGGCTACTCAGACATGCAGTTTAATCACTTATGAACATTCCTTCATGGCATGTCATTTTCTCTGTCGAATAGGGTATTTATTTATTTATTTTTACAATAAATGTAACAACAGAATAAAAAACTGAAATTTGAATAAAATATTTTACTGAAAAGAAACAAAACACTTTGGATATACCTTCTAATTCAGGTTAAGTAAACACAAACAAAAACGGCAAAACAGGAACAAAAATCTACAAAAATTATAATAAAATGATTGGTAAAATATTCACATACATTAATTAGTATCAATATTTAAATTTTGAATAATTTATAAAATAATAAAAATAATGAAAAAAAAAAAAAAAACAAGTATAATGAAAGAAACATATAATAAATTTTTCAAAACTATATAAAGAAATTTAAAAGTTAAATAAAAAAAAAGTCTATAAAAATAAATTATATTATTATTATAAATTAAATAAACTATTAAAAGTTAAAAAAAAAAGTCAAACTATAAGAAATCCGGACTTGTCGGGACTTCGGCGATTCCGGATTATAGATCATCAATTTAAATCTGGTAAAATGGCATGCAGAAATTATACAATTAAAAATATGAAACTGTAATTTATGAAATAAAGAGCAATTATGATCTAAAGGGTATCAAATTTTACAAAAAAAAAGAAGCTTAATATTTACTTGTTTACTTTATTAAACATTTCTTTCAACGTGTGCATGCATAAAGTTTTTGGCTTTGAGGTCCGGATTATAGATAATTCCGGATAATGGACGTCCGGATTACGGACTTTGTACTGTATATATATATAGTATTAGCACAGAAGACGAAAGTAAAAATTTGCACATTTGATACTGCAGTGCCAGAGTACACAAGTAATATCAAGTAAAAACAATAATACAATACTAAAGCAGTTAAAGTTTGCGTAAAAAAAATCTCCTGAAATAACTATTAAACGATATAATCTACAAAAACAAAATTAAAAAAAAATTTTTTTTTCTATTTTGTTATTTAATTTTAATTTTAATTGCAAGCACGTCAGGAAAAGAAACGAAGCTATTGAGACATTACTAAAATAAGATTTTAATTAAATAATTTTTTTAATGGATTACTGCTTTCAGTCTCAATTGTTTCGTTTGACGAAATGTGCTTATGGTATTAGCTAAATTGGAGCTTTCTCATGCTTTTCCCTTGGTAAGTTTGTGATAAACTTTGAATTGGGCAAGTGACCATTTATTGCAATTCTTTGTATATGATTTCTTTGTCTTTAAAATGTTTTTGATTATTTGCGAACAAAATTGATGTTCTTTAGGTTGTTAATTTTTTTTAGTCTTTTATATTTTCCAATTTTGTTTTTGTAGATTATATTGTTAAGTAGGTTATTTCAGGAGGTTTTTTCATGTAAACTTTAACTGCTTTAGTA